ATATGTATATATATGTATATATATGTATATATATGTATATGTATATATATGTATATGTATATATATGTATATGTATATATATGTATATATATGTATATGTATATATATGTATATATATGTATATGTATATGTATATATATGTATATATATATATATATATATATGTATATATATATATATATGTATATATATGTATATATATATATATATATATATATATATATATATATATATATATATATATATATATATATATATATATGTATGTATGTATGTATGTATATATATATATATATATATATATATATATATATATATATATATATATATATATATATATATATATATATATATGTATGTATGTATATATATATGTATGTATGTATGTATGTATGTATGTATATATATATATATGCTGCCATGCAATACTGTTAGTTTATGCTGTTGGCATTATTGGGATGTCATTTATCTTAAATGAGTTATTTTCGTAAGCCTGAATTTATACCCAGAATTGAAACGCTTTGTTTCAACTCTGTGCATGCCAACTCCAACAACATGTGCCTACAAGAGCTTCTTAGGATAATCAACTGCTGTGTTGCCCATGGTAGACCAGTGGTTAAACCATCCATGTACAGATGTGGGTTGACTCACAGTGAGTTACTTCCCAGACCAGGAAGCAAACCTGCATGCCAGCCCAGCACCCTAACCACTGGACTACCAAGTCTGCTACATGACACTAGTTGCCTAAGCCACATACTGTATCCTGTGCAGGCCATGCTGTTTTTATCTAGTTTTTATTCTTATTATTGGGCTGTTTTAATTGTATGTCTCATGTGTTTTATTTATTTCTCTTTGCTGCTTTCTGTTTATTCTATTGTTTTAATGTATTTTCTGTACAGCACTTTGTTCCTGTGCTGGGTGTTTTAAAGTGCTTTATAAATAAATGAACTGAACTGAATTGAACTGAGACGTTTTTCAGACTAGAGACTAGCTTCTGGGAGTAAGACGCAATACGTTATTATAAGGGCTGGGGTCTTAATGGTACACTGTTTTAATCTAAACAGGTGAAAACAGATAAAGAAACATTAAAGTGGTTTTCAATTCAATTCAATTCAAGTTTGTTTATAAAGGGCCAAATCACTACAAGAGTCATCTCAAGGCATTTCACATAGTAAACATTCCAATTCAGGTCAGTTCATTAAGCCAATCAGTAAAATGTTTCCCATATAAGGAACCCAGCAAATTGCATCTGCACTGACTAGTGTCAGTGTCTTTACAGCAATCATCATACTAAGCAAGCATGTAGCGACAGTGGAGAGGAAAACTCCCTTTTAACAGGAAGAAACGTCCAGAGAATCCTGGCTCAGTATAAGCAGCCATCCACCATGACTCACTGGGGACCTGCTGGGTCCCCAGTGAGTGAACTGACCTGTATTGGGATGTTTACTATGTGAAGTTCCTTGAGACGACTCTTGCTGTGATTTGGTGAAATATAAATAAACTGAATCAAGTAGAAAATACAGTTTTTAGCCAGAATAGTACAACCAGCACCCTGAGAACTGGTATGTCTACATCATGCTGTAGAATAGGGTCACAATTGATGGTCGCTGTTTGCAACTCTGATATCAAAATAACATGCTCCACTAAGAGAAAAGATGTTTTTTTTTATTCAAACAAAGGTGGCTCAGATCTCCACCACATACAATCTTTTTTATGCTCCAACAAAACCTCCATGGATTTGTCTAAATTCTGTGTAGTCGTAGTAGTTTTAGTGTAATCCTCCTGAGCAAAGCAGCAAACAGACCAAAAAACCACAAAGCCTCTTCAGTGAGGTTAAAATAGTTGTGCTGGAGCAATTCTCCTCGTTCTGCTGAAAACCAACCCACATGCAAAGGATGACTAAAATATGCTTTTGTTGTAAAAAAATAATCCATTTGAACCTGTAAAATATCATGTGATGGATTACAAAGTGACCTATGTTTGAGTAATTAAAGGTTTGAGATGTTTATTTGGTACACGAGGAATAAAACGTTTAATCATTGATTAAACATCAGATCCCGACTTTGCATCAACACCAAGCGTATCTTTTGTGATAAACTGTATAATAGAGTCCACAGCTTGTGGTTTGCCATTTTGGCGGATTACAACTGACCACCAATCATTTTGATGTGCGGCGAGGAGAGAGTGACAAAAAAATGAACTATGTAGGAAATTAGAGTTTCGTGATTGAGTGCTTTTGCGGTATTAATCATTGCCGAGCGTAGGAGTGCCACCCCCTCACACGCTGATTTACCATTTACCCATAATACACAGACTCCTTCATTTGCATGCCTTTGCAGACACTGTCCAATTAGGTTCCATCAAACTCACCGGCTTTTCGTGCTGACTTTGATCTAGTATTTTTTGCCTCCTCGCAGCCTCAAAATTGCTTTTTTCCCACTGTTGAGCTCTTTTTGTCTCTTCTTTTTTCCGCATCTGTCTTGCATACTATCTCTCTCCCAAAGCATTACCTCTTAGGCAGCAGGCAGACAGATTTTAGATGAGTCACCCAGTATGTCTGATTCCATCAGCCTCCCTTCGTCTCCCCCTCTCCCTCCTCTTTGCTCCCCCATCGTTTCTCTAGCCTAAAAGGGCAACAGAGGGAGAGGCTTCGCTCAGCATGAGCTCGTTCTCATACTTTTTCTGTCTGCTTCCTTGAGCCTCATTTAAAGAAAAAAGGAAAGTGACATTTCCAGACGGGCATGGTGTCTCCTTGGAAACCCCTGCTCCCTTTTGCTGACATAAAAATGACTAGTGTAGGTGAGATTCAATTAAATTCAATTCAATTCAAAGATACTTTATTAATCCCAGAGGGAAATTAGAGTTTCAGTGCACACAATTCTGAGATCAGACATACATACATAGGCATAGACACATGACAAGAATTGGTGACTGTGGTCATTCGCAACCCGAGTCGCGCTACCTTAATAGTGATCAGATGGTTTTATATGAGGACTGGGTCAGGTGGAGGAAAAAAGGCACTTCAGAGTTACCCTCCACAGGGAGGGCAGCTTTGCTATGAAAAAATAAATAAATAAATAAAATAAAAAAAACACCTCAGACAGAAATGCAACAGACTTCAGACATTACACAACATAAGTGTCCACTAGGTGGGGCAGTAGGGTTAGGGACTCTCCACACATCAGTGCATGCAGCCGCGATGAGCAGCGCTCGTCATCTCCGTGTGGACAGGGGAAGGAGGTGTTTGGGTTTTAGAGAGCGCAGTGACTCCTGGAACGATTCAACGACCTTCGGTCACAGTTCCGCCCAGGCTGGGATAGGGAGACAGAGTTGCCATGGCAACGGCAGCAGTCCACATTTCTTCTGAGGGGAGAGCAATCACTTCAGCCTCACAAGCTCAAGGGCACCAGATTCAGATAAGAACTTGTTTTGGGGCCAGACAGAGATAATTTCCTCTCTGTCTTAAAGTTCCGTTGTTCCTCAACCCCTCTTAATCCAATAATGGCGTAAATTAATCTATTCCAATCCGTGCTGATTCGTCAACTTCCTCTTTGATGGAATCCACCTTCTGTGCCAGAGTCTCAATCTCAGCCAAAGTTCCAAGTAAGTGAGCTCACGACTCATCTCGATAATTATATGAGTCTGTGCATTCACAGCGCGGTGTAATCCATCTCTGAGCTCCGGGATTGAGCCAATATTCCTCGACAGCTCGTTAATTTTCCGGTAAGCCAGGTAACCGCTCAGGCCAAACAGCAGGAAACCTGACACCAACACCACGAATATCCAGATGTCTTCAGAGTCCTCTACAGACAGCTGAGAGAGGCAGATCTGGTTCCACTGTT